ATATAATAAAAGGCTAAAATGCTAAGTGTGTGGTTGTCCATTCAACCAATCAAAGTGTAATATGCTAATGACATACTAAGGCTGCTCAACCACTTGCTATGACATGCATTGACCACCAGGGGGCAGACATTCTGACTGATAGGATAGCTTGTTGCTGTTGCTGGGTTCCGGCTGATTGGGACTGAGCGAGACAGGCCAGACATGCCCTGGAGTCCTCCCGTGATCCCTCCCCGCTGGCCAACCTCCCGTGTCCCTCCCTGGCCCCGATCATGCACTGGTGAGGTCCCTTGACTTGGCTTGTGCCCTCTCGCAATCCAGGAACTCTCAAGGGATGTCCGAAAGGCGGTTTCGGCCCAATCCTGCAGGCCAGGTCGAGGGGCCCGACTGTGCACAAATTTGTATGGAGCCTCTAGTAAAAATATAAAGGAAGAGGTACAGAGCTAAATAGGAACATTTGTGTTTTTTAAACTTACCATTAAAGGTAAGTTGTTATTAATTCAAACTCAATTGTTATAAAATAAAAGAGTAATTGGAACATGAGAATAACTAGGAAAATAATGAAATATATAGTAAAGATAAACATTAAACCAGAACACTAGAATAACCCACTTCATCACAAAGAAAAAATGGAAGAACTGAAGAACAAAAAGATATGACATGCAGAAAACAATGAAAGAAGTTCTTCCTTATTAACAGTTATATAACTTCAAAATTAAACTTGATTTGTTGGACCACTTATTTATATACTTGAGGCCTGGTGCACATGCACTGGTGGGGATCCTCAGCCTATCCTGCTCCCTGTCACAACCCGGGACCATTCAGGGAAGGTCTGACTGCCGGTTTTGGCCTGAGAGATGTTGTAGTGTGCGAAATGGCAACCAGTCGGGGAGGAGCCCGAGCCTGGGCCAGGCGCTGCTCCCATTCATCCCAGCCACACTGTGCCTGCTGCAGCTTGGTAGTGCACAGCCTTGGGAGTGGGAGAGGCTTATGCCGCCACAGCTGTGCTCGCCAGCCGTGAGCCCAGTATCTGGTGCCTGTCAGTCAGCTGAGCAGCGCTCCTGCTGTGGGAGTGCACTAACCATTAGGGGACAGATCCTGCGTTGAGTGTCTGCCCCTGGTGTTCAGTGTGCATCATAGCGACCGGTTGACTAGTTGTTCAATCATTCAGTTGACTAGTCGCTTAGGCTTCTATATGCAGTATATAGATTCATTGGTTGATTCTTGCATGCTACCTGACAGGCATATCGTGAAATACTCTAACCAACTGAGTTAGCCAGCTGGGCCAATTATTTTGAGTAAAAACTTGTTATTAAGTTTTAAATTAAGTTATTATGAAATTTAAAAGGGCATTACATTTTGATAAAATGGTTAATTCAGGAAGAAGACAAATGAAAAGTACAAAAGTAAAACAACAATCAAAAAACCAAAATCTAGCTCCCTATAATAATGAACAAAAATTGATGAACACTTAAGTAAAACAATGACAAAACACTCAAATTATAAAGATAATATATAAAAACTAGAGGCCCAGTGCACAAAATTTGTTCACAGGGTGTGGGGTGTCCCTCAACCCTGCCTGCACCCTCTCCAATCTGGGACCCCTCGGGGGATGTCTGACTGCAGGAACGGGTCTAAACCGGCAGTCCTCTCACAATCCGAGACTGCTGGCTCCTAACCGCTTGCCTGGCCTGCCTGCCTGATTGCCCCTAATCGTCTCTGTGCGCCAGCCTGATCGTACCCTAACCACTCCTTTGCTGGCCTGATTGACACCTAACTGATCCCCTGCCGCCCTGATGGCTCCCAACTGTCTTGCCCTGCTGGCTTGACCGGCCCCAACTGCCCTTCCCTGTTGGCCTGATCACCCCCAACTGCCCACCCCTGCCGTGACCCATCTCCTCCATGTGAGGTGGCGGAGATGCCAGGACTGGCCTTCTCTATGCTGCACAGAGCCATGGGACCCCCAGGCTTTACCATGTGGAGCAGCCGCCAGGCCCCGCCTCTGCTGTGTATTCGGCTGTCTTGTGGCAGCTATCTTGTGATGATGTAGTGTGAGGGCATGATGCCACCTAGGCTTTTATTATATAGGATGAGAATATTGCCCTGGCCAGTTTTGCTCAGTGGTTACAGCATCAGTCGGAGGACAAAAAGGATCTGAGGTTTGATACCTGGTTAAGGGCACACACCTTGTTTGCAGGTTTAGTTCTTAGTCCCAATAGGAGCGTGAGCAGGAGGCAACCAATTGATATCTCTCTCACATTGATGTTTCTCTCCAGTCCCCTGGCTTCTCCTTCTCCTGCTCTCTAAAAATCAATGGAGAAAATATCCTCTATGGTATGGTGAAGATTCAAAAAAAATGTGGGATATTATTAACCTTACTAGAGGCTCAGTGCACGAAATTGCACGAGACCCAGAGTCCCACCACCACCGCCACAGGACCCAGAGTCCTGTCGCCATTGCAGGACCCATCCATGCACTGCCTGGTGACTGGTCTCTTGGTCGTTCCGGCATTCTGTCCACTGGCTTTTTACTATATAGATAGTAGTAAAATAAATAAAGAGAACAGTGAATAACACCAAATTAGGTAGTCTAGACAAAATATACAAATTCTAGTCCTGAATATGTTTGTGTGTTGAATATATGTGGGAGGGAAAAAAACTGTGAACAAAAATCATGAGGCAAGACAAATGGTATAACTCGATACTTATATGATTTCACTATCATCAATATTCAAAAGCTTATGTTTTATTGAGATAATAAGGGCAAGGGGGAAAGAGAGAAACATCAACACGAGAGAGAGACATTAATTGGTTGGCTCCCGCTAATGCCAGTGATTGAACCTACAATGGAGGTGCATGCCCTTCACCAGGAATCAAATCTCAAACCCTTTTGGTCCAAGGACTAACACTCTAGCCACTGAGAAAACCGGCATGGGCAATATCCCCACGGTGTTAAGGAAAGAAGTTAAAAATGCAAGTAAAAACTGATAAAATTTCATAAACAAAAGGGAGCCTTGCAGATGCCAAGTCCAATTTGCACAAATGGAAAGTCTAAGGGAAGTGGACATAAAAGTGATAAAAAGTTGAGCAGAGATTAGCACAGACCTTAAAGAAGTTCATAAAAGAAAAAGTACAGTGTGTTGCATAGTGTATGTTAGTTTTCTTATAGACATTAGGGCTTATTCACTCTCTTTTGCAAAACTGGCTGATATAAGTCTATCCTGGAAATTCTCTAGTCTGAAACCACTCGCCAACTCCCATGACTTTATGAAATTAGAATTTATATGTTATAACTAGCTGTACCCGGCCATGCGTTGCTGTGGCTCAGTCTGGTTAAATGGAAAAGAAAGAAAAGAGAAAGTGCACGTTTCTAATATGTTTAATTTCACAATGCTTATGGGTATACAATATTTTTTGTTGTTCCATTGTCTGTGCAGATATAGAGATTGTCTGGTTTGCCAACTTTAGAACACACAACATATAATTGTCCATGTGAGAAGCAATTTGTGTCTAGATCTAAACCGCACAATTCTAAAGATTGGCCCTGAGCTTTGTTGATGGTGATTGCAAACGCCAATCGAATTGGGAATTGCAATTTCTTAAATTGAAATGACATATCAGTTGGAATCATAGGAATGAGAGGAATGAGGACATCTTCACCTTTGAAAGGTCCTGTTAAGATTGTTGCTTCTACAACATTGCTCATTAATTTTTTTACTGCAAGCCTCATGCCGTTGCAAAGCTTTGGCTGGATGATATTTTGCAACATGATAATTGGCACACAGATTTTCAATTGCAGTATGTGTGGTGGCATCCCTGGCAGATCAAATGAATTCAAAAATTCTGTTGGATAATTAACTGCTTCATCTGCTTTCACAACAGTGTCGATGGACTTGTGACTGCCTCGCCGCTTTGAATGTTAGACTGAATAATATTGTTAAGTTTGTAGATGTCTTTGTTCTTGGCCGCAAGAATAGCTCATTCAAAAAAATATAGAATAGCTTGTTCACTCAGCCAATCGTGATTCTTATAATTGGTTTGAATATTGGGAAATACTTTTTCAACCAATTCTTCTTTTAACATTACTAAATTGCAGGTTATGAGGCAATGAAATTCGTTCTGAGGTCAGGTCAACCAGCACTTTTCCAGCAATTGATGTGAGAATATCTCAGCTGATCGATCGTTTTGCAGCTAGACATGCATATTTGTAGACAATTTTATCTACAATTTATAATTGTAAACAGAAACATAGAAATGGAATTGTAAAATATTTAGCATAGCATTTGTTGCTTTTACGTCCAACAGATGGCACTGCTTTTCAAAAAGAGCATGTTTTTACCTGTCACAGATGTGACATCTATGTAATAGTAGGAATATAAGTATATAAAAACATGCGCATATTCGAATGCAATGTTGTATCAAAATTTCAAAGCAATAAGTGAAGAACTTTTGGAGATTTAAGATTTTGAACAAATGAACATTTACATTTTTATTTATATAGATAAAAACAGAAGACCAATTCTATACTGAAAGGCAGATTAAAAGGGAAAATCCATGTTTGAGCTTTTATGTTATTAAATAAATTATCTCAACTTTCCTTTCTTTTCCTTGTTATGATATACAAATAATCTGTATAGGTTTTCAACTTCACACTAACACAGGGAAAGAGATATGAGAGTGAGCCTAGTCCAGCCGTGGGCAAACTACGGCCCGTTTGAAATGAATAAAACTAAAAAAAAAAAAAAGACCGTACCCTTTTATCTAATGATGTTTACTTTGAATTTATATTAGTTCACACAAACACTCCATCCATGCTTTTGTTCCGGCCCTCCGGTTCAGTTTAAGAACCCATTGTGGTCCTCGAGTCAAAAAGTTTGCCCACCCCTGCCCTAGTCTCAACATCAAAATGCATATAACTTTATTTCCTCAAACAAGATCTTCCTCATTCCTTCCCCACACTTGAGCAGGATTAAGTTCCTTTTGCCCTTTATTTCCTGTACTCACAGGAACACCATAGGCCATGAGGGTATTGGGATTCATCAGGGTAACAAGTTGATGTAGAATGTCAGTCCGGCTATCAAACAACTCAGGTGTCAACCTCTTCATCACCTCCTCCAAATGTTCTGCTGCCAATGAGGGCACCCCATACCAGGTCTTTGGCTTGCCTCTGTTCAGGTAAAGAGAAGACATAAAAGTTTGGACATATAAAGTGAATCTTGAGGTCCAACCCAGCCATTGGAACATGCTCACCAGTGTAGGTAGTTGATGGAGTAACTCCAGTGATCCTCAATATGCCAACAAAATGCTCAGAGAACCATGCCAACATACAACCAGGGAACCTTCATGCCTGAGATGTCTGCAATGATATGGCAAAGAAAGACTGATCCAGCACTGGCATTACATTCAGGTTCCAACCACTGGTCACATACTGTCAGTTCAGAGATTTGAAAGAGCAGGAAAGGTTCGGTATTAGATAAAGAAAGGAAAACTAAGACAGACTTATACAGAATGACATAAACAATCAAATTAAACAAAACTATGGAATAAATAAAAGTTAACAGTGAATGCTATCTGAATAATGCATCCATTTCTAATTAAAAACAACAACATGTAAAAATGGTTTAAATGAATGAAACTTTAATATAAAACATATCCATTAAATTCATTGCTTAACAGACACCATTAGAAACAATTTCATTTTCTGCTATTGTTTTAGAAGCAACAGCCAAAACAGTCAGAGGAAATAAAATACCTGAATATAAAAACTAGAAAAATGACAGGACTGTACTTATCAATTGTATTACTGAAAATCCACCCCAAAATTCCTAAGTACTTAATATATATAATTTCAATTTTATATTACACTAGTGGCCCATTGCACAAAGATTCGCACAATAGGCCTTCCTTCCCCTGGCTGCTGGCATCAGTTTTCCTCTGGCACCCAGGACCCAGGCTTTGGTCCGAACCTGGCAGCAAGGCTTGGCTTCTCTGCTGCAGCTGCAGCAGCAAGGCTTGGCTTCTCTCCTGGAAACCCAGGCCCCCAGGCCCTCCTTGAGCAGAGGACTTGAGCCAGAGACCTTAAGCTGGAGGCCTTGAGCAGAACCCAGGGCCAGCAGGAAGCTTGACTTCCTTCATTGCCGGGAGCAACCCAAGCCTCCTGCTCGATCCAGCTCTGTGACCACCACCATCTACAGTCGTCTTCAGTCTTCACTCTGCACCTGCATATGTAAATTCACCTCCATCTTTGTTGGGTTGATTTGCATAGTCACTGATTGGCTGGTGGGTGTAGTGGAGTGATAAAGTGATGGTTAATTTGCATGTTTCTCTTTTATTATATAGGATTGTAGTTAACTATTGAGAGAAATCATAAAGAACCACAAAGTGGAAGAAATATTTAAAAGGATAGAACCTAAAAAAATTAAAGTGTTTTAAAAATAAAAGTTCTAAAACTAATGTGTGACTTGGATCATTAATAGTTTTACTGGCCAAAACTTAAGGTAGAAGATAAAATTTTAGGTATTAGAGACCTAAACCTAAAGTTATAACATTAAACATTAATTTTACTCTCAAACAAGTTAATTTTACTGAAACTGAAGAATGTAGGGAAAAGAAATCTCTAAACATAAAGTCAATATACTTTCTGCTTCTGTAAGAGAACAAAACAAACCAAATGCTCCTGAGAGTTCTGATCCATAACCTGTCATCAGAGAAATTGGAACCAGAATACACACTTACAAAAACATGCCAAGTAAAAAAAGTGTATTAGAGTTTTGAATTGTGTCCTCAGTCATTTAGCAGAAAATATGATTGGTGGGAATGAAATGACTGAAAAATTTTTGAGAAATCATCAAACTATTTAAACACAACCAATAAGAGTATAGACAGTAAACTTATCAATATATTAAAAAACGAAACAGCAAAAGCTGCAGAAAGAAAATTTTCCTTAATCTTGACCAGAAAACTCACAACCGGAATTCTAAATATAAAAATATACAATTAATATTAGAAATCTGAAGACTAAAAGTGGTCCAAAAGTAATAAACTTTTAAGAAAATTGGTAAATTTTAAAATTACTTTTAATAAATTACTGAAAATACAGGAGCAAGAGAAAAAAAGAAAATATAAAACAGATTAAGAATCATGAAGATGAAGTTAGAATAAGAACATAAGATTATTGCATTTCATGATAACAAGAAAGATTTAAGATAAAAAGAAGTTATATTGGAAGGGTCAATGCCCAAGAATTTTCTAGAATTGAAGAAAGTTGGATCCTCAGATTTGAGAAACACAATACCAAAAACATTTGCAATTAGCCAGAAGAGATCTTATAGCAATAAGAAAAACAGATTAAATTACATATAAATTAATGTAATAAATACAGTTAATGTCTCAAAGGTAACAATATGCTAAGTATTTTTAATGTTCTGAAAGAAAGTAACTCCCAAATCAGATTTGTACATAGCCAGCAAAATACCTTTTTTAAGAATAAAGGTAGAGAACCTGGCTGGAGAACCTGGCTAGAGAACCTGGCTAGGCTGCTGATCAACTGAATGCTGTCTCCGTGTCATTCATTCTTCACCGACTCCGTCCACACCTTTGGGAACCCCTGGACCTGCTGGGGCTGGACCCCAACAGGATTTGGCAAGCAGCTCCAGGGACCGCCCCCCCCCCTCGACCTCCCAGATCCTCTTCCCCTCGAACTTTGCAGTAAATATTATTGTTTGGTTTTTACTCAGGGCTTTTGTTTTCCAACAAGTTTCTATCATTTCAGGAAATAGAAGAATCAGGCTAAACTAGCCACCCAATCCACATACAAATGTGCGTGCCTACACATAGGCACACATGCCTCCATGATATACTAAGGAGGAGAGGGTTGACGCAAGAAGGATCAAGACTGCTTGTCCTTATTAAAGCCAAGAGAGATAAAGTGTCTTTTGTGTTGTCCCAACTGCCTGGCAGATGAAATCTGGACAGAAAACTTATGCACCATGCTCCACATCAGTACTTCTCAAATTCAATTACCCAGAAGGTTCACCTGGGGAACTCATTGAAACACAGATTCTGGGCCTCTCCCCAGGAGATTCCGATTCAGTACATTTGGGCAGGACCCAAGAAATTGCATCTCTACGTTCCAGATGCCAATACATCTTTGAGAGCCACTGCTCTACTCTATCCCATTTCTGGCCACTTGTCCTTGTCCCAAGCTAGCAGATCTCATCAAGGCCATTAATTGTCGCCAGAGTGAGCTCCTTTGCCCAGTGTGGCCCAGTGACCACAATTGTTTGTGTTGCTCTCATTGATTTAGAAGTTCAAGTTGTCATACTTGGTCATCCTGGACTAGGACTGTTTTTAAACAGAATCCAGAAAAAGGGGCCAAAGAGGCCTCCTGTCCCCACTCACTTTGCCGGCCTCCTGCCGGGGCCTCACTTGAGAGTGGGAGGAGTTAGTTCTCTGCTTGCTAGGAGTGAAAAAGAAACTTTGCCACATTAGAGCAGTCTTAGGAGGACTCCTAAGTCCACAGGTGCCCTGCCTTCTTGGGTCCTTCGAGGACTCCCGAGGTGGCTGAGACCTGTCCTCTCTCCTAAGGGAAGACTTCAGGTCCACTATCGACCCGCAGGGCCTCCTCTGGGATCAGCCCATCACTTTCTGGAGCTGGGACTCGGGGTACCAGAACCCTGAGACTAAAACCAGAACTGCGGGGCCACCTTGGAGCCAGCAAAGGTCTGCCCAGAACAGAGTAGGGATGGGGAGGGAGGAGGTGGAGAGTGTCATCCTGCAGGGGGAGCCTTTGTGCTGGCTGCTTTCAGGCTGCCCTTTGGGGTATGAAGGATGATCTGACCGGAAACACTCGCAGAGTCCAGATGAAATCTCCAGGCTTCTGCACGCCCGGGTCGCCTCCATTTAGAATTTGCACCCTCTCCCTTGAAGGGGCTCAGGACTCCAGTCTTGATATGATAAAGCGAAGTTTCTGACAAAACTCAGGCATTGGACATTGGGGACTTCATGTCAGCCTTTGCTAGGGCTATTTAAAAAGGCATAGAGATGGCTTCATACACTGTTGGTAAAGGTGGAAATGTTCCCTTCTTTCTGAAAGGAGACGTGACAAAGTGGCTGAAAGACCTTAAATGTGCGATTCTGCTTCTAGGCATTTCCTCTGAGGAAATAATTGGACCAGGGCTCAAAGACGAATGTACAAGGACAGTCACTGCGGCTCTATTCACAGTAGCAAACAATGTAAACAACTTAAATACACGAATAAAAAAAACAGGAGTTTGGTTAAAAAAAAAGAATAAAGGTAAAGGAACACAATTTTTTTTGTCAAATAAACAACATTTAACATCTCAATTTGCAAAATTTTGTAATAATTTACTATGGAAATAAAAATAGCACACAAAAAAAGATCGGGGTTTCAAGAAGGGTAAACAATAAACAAAAGCTATTCATGTGACGAAATCTATATGAAACATGAAAATGTAAACTGATAAAAAAAAGTATCTATCCAATTTGAGCAAAAAAATATTAAGAATGCACAATTGAGCATATCATCATGTGTCAATTTCTGGGTTCTCTATTCTGTTCCATTGGTCTAGATGCTGCTCTTGTGACAGAACCAGGCTGTTTTGAGAATTATGGCTTGGTAATACAGCCTGTTATCTAGCATTGTGAGCCCTCCAACTTTGTTCTTCTTTCTCAGGATTGCTACAGCTATTCGGGGTCTTTCTTTATTCCAGATGAATTTTTGGAGAGTTTGTTCTAGATCTGTGAAATATGCCATTGGTATTTTAATGGGGGTTACATTAAATTTATAGATTGCTTTGGGTAGTATGGACATTTTAATGACACTGATTATACCAATCCATTAGAAGGGTATATTCTTCCATTTGTTTATGTCTTCCTCTATTTTTTCAACGTCCTGTAGTTTTCCCAAATACAGATCTTTTACCTTCTTGGTTAAGTTTATTCAAAAGTATCTTAATATTTTTTGCAATGGTAAATGGGATTGTTTGTTTAGTTTCCCTATCTGAGAGCTCAATCCCCTATATAATAAAAGGGTAATGTGAAAATTGACCCTAACAGCAAACAACTAGAACGACCAGTTGCTATGACACGCAATAAACACCAAGGGGCAGATGCTCAATGCAGGCGCTGCCTCCTGGTGGTCAGTGCACTTCCACAGGGGAAGCGCTGCACAGCCATAGCTTATGGCTGGCCAGCACAGCAGCAGTGGTGGGAGCCTCCTCATGACAGTACTAAGGATGTCCGACTAACGGCTTAGGCTTGCTCCCTGTCCTACGCCGTTAGTCAGACATCCCCCAAGGGCTCCCAGGCTGCCAGAGGGATGTCTGACTACCAGCTTAGCCTTGATCCCTGGGGAGTGGGCCTAAGCCAGCAGGTGGACCTCCCTTGAGGGTTCCCAGATGGCAAGAA